AGAGCGGAGACCTTAGCAGGAGCCCTAAGAAGAGTTATCTTTTCTTCTTAATAGTCTATCACCCTGAAATTAGTTTGTCTAGAGCTAGGGTTAAATAGCTAGAAGAGCGCCGCACTTTTGTAGCGTTTGGTGCGCTCCTGACAAGCCTTGAAAATCCGCTTAAAGAAATAGTTTTTACGCCAGGTTGTACTTATAACCGCAGCAGGTCTCTAAGGTAAAAAGCCTCTAGTTAATAGAACAATGTAGATAAGGGAAGTCGGCAAAATAGATCTGTAACTTTAGGAAAAGGATTAGCTCTAAGGGTTAGGTACGTTAGGCCTTAGGCTGACGCTCCTAGCGCAGATTGGCACTAACTGCAAGGTGGGCGCCTTTCAGCGCTGGGGTGCTTAAGCCCTTGGCAGGTTTTGGCCGTCCGGCGTACGCTTAATAACCAACTTAGAACTAGTACAGACAAGGGGAATCTAACTGTCTAATTAAAACATAGCATTGCGATAGCCAGAAAGTGGTATTGACGCAATGTGATTTCTGCCTAGTACTCTAAATGTTAAAGCAAAGAGATTTAACTAAGCGCGGGTAAACGGCGGGAGTAACTATAACTCTCTTAAGGTAGCTAAATGCCTCGTTATCTAATTAGTGACGCGCATAAATGGATTAACGAGATTCCTACTGTCCCTATCTACTATCTAGCAAAACTACAGCCAAGGGAACGGGCTTAGCAGAATCAGCGGGGAAAGAAGACCCTGTTAAGCTTGACTCTAGTTTGACATTGTGAAAAGACATAGGGGGTGTAGAATAGGTGGGAGCTTTAGCGCCAGTGAAATACTACTACCCTTATCGTTTTTTTACTTATTTAATAAAGCGGAACTAGGCCTTACCGCCTAATTTCTAGCGTAAAGGTCCTTTGTAGGCCAATCTGGGTTAAAGACATTGTTAGGTAGGGAGTTTAGCTGGGGCGGCATATCTGTTAAACTATAACGCAGGTGTCCTAAGGGGGACTTATAGAGAACAGAAATCTCTAGTAGAGCAAAAGGGCAAAAGTCCCCTTAATTTTGATTTTCAGTGTGAATACAAACCATGAAAGTGTGGCCTATTAATCCTTTAGTCCCTCAAAATTTGAGGCTAGAGGTGCTAGAAAAGTTACCACAGGGATAACTAGCTTGTGGCAGCTAAGCGTTTATAGCGACGTTGCTTTTTAATCCTTTAATGTTGGCTCTTCCTATTATACCAAAGCAGAATTCAGTAAGCGTTAGATTGTTTACCTACTAATAGGGAACGTGAGCTGGGTTTAGACCGTCGTAAGACAGGTTAGTTTTACCCTACTGATGATTATTGCCCTAATAGTAATTCCGCTTAGTACGAGAGGAACCGCGGATTTAGATAATTGGTTTTTGCGGCTGTCTGACTAGGCATTGCCGCGAAGCTACCATCTGCTGGATTATGGCTGAACGCCTCTAAGTCAGAATCCATGCTAGAAAGGGGCGAATTCCGCCTGCATATTGAAGTCAGATACGAATAGGCCTTTGGCCC